ATATACATATATACATATATACATATATACATATACATATATACATATATATATATATATATATATATAAAAAATACAAAATACAGCATGACAAAACTGGCCAATTTCTCTGTTTATCATCAGAATTTGATAATTACAGACAAGAAATTACTTGTTTTCTACTGTAATACAAAAGTCTTCACAGCTTTGCCAACACTATTTCACAAAATACGGATTAGCTAAACCTTTCCAAAGTTTGTGTGTGTCTGTGTGTCTGTGTGTGTGTTCTGACCTGTGCAACAGGTATGGATAGGTCCCAGAATGGATCAAACACCGTGGAGCGGAAGCCACAGACGGTGCAAGTCACAGAGCTCTTCAGCTGTCCAACAAACAGATCTAAAAAAGGCAGAAACAAGACGCGTAGAATTACATTTAATATGCATCTAAATTCAAGGACGGTTTGAAGGTAATTATGCAGCCCATCAAGGTTAATCCCCTACCCACGACTTTGCTGTCCTCTCTCTCCAAGTACATGTTCCACATCCGCTTGCCTTTTTCATCATCCCTGTGAATGAAACCGAACAGACATTCAGGTCAAAACTATTCATACCAGAGCGTCGTCTCGCAGTCTGTCTAAGCTAGACTGTTGCCTCTGTGCTGTTGTACACTATAGTGTTCAATATGTCCGTTTCAGACAACGTGATTGGTTGATGTCTTTATTGGCGGCGCAAAAGCTACGATAAATATTGACCTCGTTCTGGAGAAGAATTACGCTTTTCCGCCGCGTAATATTGACGTTCTGCGTGAAAGTACTCATGACAAAAACATCAGTTAAAAAAATATATATAATGCGAAATAAATCACATGAAAAAGTTGCCGCCTGTGTATCCAATTATGCAAGTTTCTTTCTTACGTCTGGAATTCCAGGTATAATGGTAGTATAGTATATATGATTACTGTCATTTAACATAATGTTAGTTCAGAAAATAGCCACATAACTGCTACATCTGGAAGGTAATTAATGACATTGTAATTATAAATAATTACAGTTTATTCCCACCTTTCAGGCATGCAGCAGCGTTTTTCTTGGCAGTGAGAGGTGTCAGTGACAGGGCAGGTTATGAGTGACTTATTGGGAGCAGAGGTGAGAAGTGTGTGTGTGTGGGGGAGCTGACTTACGAGAGGTGGTCAAAGTCCTCGACGGACACCTTCGGGCGGACTGTCACTCTGTTCACCTCATTATGGAGACCGTCCAATAAGAAACGTAGAAACTCCTGGGCGTCCTGCTGACTGCAAGGAGACAAAAAGGAGAATTGTTACTTTCTTCACCCTGAAATCAGCAATTATTCTTTAACTGAATCAAAGGAAAAAGGCCTACGAGCAGAGGAGGAGGGAAGACTTACTTGCAGCCCACAAATTTTGGAGCGAATCTCTGGATCTGGCTCCTGAAATCAGAGGGACTGATGGCCTCGTTGTTCACAGAGGTCCACAGGCTCTGAGTCAGCTTTGCAAACTCTAAGGCGAAGGAAAGAAATAATGATCACATTCATGAAAACAAGAGCTTTCTTTAGTTCAAAACACCAAAATTCAACATATTCAACTGAATGTTTTGAGAGACATCGGCATTCTTTAGCCAAAGAGGCAGATTTTGGTCCTGGACTAAGACATTTCTGTGAATCAAGCTGTGACACCAACGAGTCTGAACATCTGGGAGATTTGTACATATTTGTATGAAAATGAATATTAGGTTTTGAACTTGATGTGTCTAAAAACAAGCGGACAGCATGGACTCAACCAGGGCGGATTTTATACAATCCACTTACTTTCAACTGCATGTCAAGGTCTTCATCAGCGAATGGACCTGGCTCGGGTGTCGTGCCGGTGATGTGACTTTAAGCCGGTCACTGAAGACACCTGAGCCAGTTCCATGAAATGATGAAGAGTCGACTCACCGCTGTGACACGCGGCTGAAAGCTCTGAACAGCTACGAAGTGGGACCTTGAGTAGAATACTTTGTCACATAAATGAATTCTTAAAAAACTAAACCGAAGACTGAAAAATAAATAGGTGAGGCACATTTTTTTACTTATTGTACCAATTACAGCGATACAGTTGTGACACAGAAGAATGGCCTTTTAAAATACATTTTATTTGTCGGATTGCTTACTTTAACATACTCTTATATCGTTCGTTATCATATTCTACAGTAACTTTTCATATTTCTATTATTAACTATGTCTTATATTGCACCGTGTGATGCACCAATCACCATGCCAAATTCCTTGTAGGTGCAAACATACTTGGCAACATCGTGATGCACATACTGTGACCTGTGAGAACATTCTGTGCCAACACACCCTCTACAAAGCCCCGTAGGAGTGAAACAGTCCCTTTCATTTAGTGCCGAGTACAGAGGAAACGGCTTGAATGGATCAAAAAGCTTGGGACACACTCGTTCCTATAGAAATGCAGTTTAACTAATTCACTTACAGCAATCAAGCAGTCCGCTTACAGTGTTCATTTTGGCTCTTTTCACACATGGCAACATATGGGAAAGCATTTTAAAAATACAAAACTAAATCGTCAGGTCTTTAGCAGCAAGTCAGTGGAGCACAGAAACATGCAGATTGTATGGAGTACATAAAAAACTGACAATATGCGACCTTCTGCTGAGCCAAAAAGTGACTCAACATGGACGAGGCACCACTCACGCCTGCAAATGTTCCTCATTATGCTGCTAAGTTGTGCTTTAACAGCTCAGCGCTCTCGTCCTACCTTCCATGAGAGCGGCGTTCGTCGTGCAGTTGCTGTTGTTGAGGTCTGTGCGATGGACGTTTCTCAGGCAGTAGTCCCTCAGCTCGGGGGTGTTACTCAGACACTGAAGGATGGAGTTCATGAAACACTGGGAAACACAAAATAGCCACAAACACAAAGATGAATTTAATGAGGTTCCAGACCCAGCAGGTCAAAGTGCAGCGTGTTGTACGTCGGACCACAACGTGAAGTAAAAGCACTTACCGTGTTGCCCAGGTTCCTCAGTCCCACCAGGCCTTGAGGGCTTTTGTTCTATTCAAATAGAAAAGCAAGGAGATGTTTGGTGCGTTCATGCTTTTATTGGAGAATTGTAAACTGAACAGAAAACACACAACACTTTTAAACAGCATGAGGAAGACCTGGCAGGCTCATGACCGGGTCAACGTTGGGACCATGGACGTAATGGGCCTCCTTGTTTGGTCCACTTTGAATATACGGCACTAAGCTGGACCGTAAAAGGGTTTACAGTTCAAATTCAAACCATAAATAGCAGATGTCAATACTGACAACTGAGCTATTTTCTTGTGTGTCTCGTCAAATGAATATGTAATGATGTATTGATGCTAAAGAGACCCACGCAGCCATGTTCTAAAAGCGTCCATGCAGATATTAGTTGTTCTTTCCCTCTTGTCTGTGTTGCCTGCTGTAGCCGCAACAGATCAGCTTGCACGCGGTGTCAGTATGATGCAACTCCTGCATGACAGCAGCCCTGTTACATTCCTCAAGTGTGAGTAAGCCTGAAAGGACGGTCTGGCCTTTATTCAATGCGCACCATCTGACATCGGTCACATTGTTGGCACCAGCATGGCGGCACTGGTGCTGTGGATATCGGCAACTGTTCCACACACACTTGGGATGAAATAGCAGCGCCGAGGAACCTTCCAGACGCCACTCGCAGTGACGTCACACGAGTGCGTGACGCAGCCTGGAGGGAGAAGAGCTCTGCTGGGAAACCGTAGAACGCAACGCGGTGTCAAGTTGTTTGTGTGGAGAGTTTCAAATTGCTGCCCGAGACCAGGATCAACATGTTTATGCGATATATCATGTGCCACCTGTAGTTTTTATCATCGGTTGGGCAGACTGATGCAAGGCTCTGAAAGATCTGGCAGGGACTCACTGCAACCAGTGTTCAATTCAAACGCTTAATAAAATGGAGGGAAACCATTGCATGCTCTTCACAGAGTTTTTAATGCTCCCTGATAAAATATTCAGTCACCAATGTTTGAATTTCAGCAAAAATAACCAACATCATCCTTAAAATATCATCCTTGGGCTACATAATTAATAGAATATCAATCACATATTTGGCTTCCCGCAATTGAGTGAACACGATCGTCTTTACTTTTGACTTTTAAAATACATGCTCGGCTTATTGAAAACGCCGCTGCATATGAAATCAAGAGCTTCCTCACAGCCAGCCACCAGGGGGCGATCCAGATGTTGTGGCTTCCATTTTGGGGAACTTTGATGCCGTTGCGTGCGCAACCAACAGCGGCAGCGTGTGAGAAACTAGTGTACTACATAATGTACATTATTACCTGTTTGGCCCGTCTACTCACGTGAAGAAGAACCTTTATTCGAGTCTTATTTTTAATGCAGAGATTTGCTAATTAGCAGGAATGTAGCATAATATTTCAGCTGGAGATGCATTGTGATGACGTATTGTACATTAACATAGAAGAGAAGACAGTGCTCTGTTAATTTAATTGTGTAAAATGCAGTAAAATGATTGTGTCTTACTGGTCTAAACAGGATCCTCCTTGAACACCGAGACAAATAATTGTTATGAAAAGATAAATATTAACAGGTGACATACTGGCTTGTGACCTGTAGCTCATCCCGAATGAGGGAACATAGTAACAGTGTAACTTGATGACGCGGAGCTATTACGCACCGCCACGCCTCAACGCCTCCGCTGACGGCCGAGGTGAGCAACGCAACGATGGAAGCACACGTGAAGGCGCAGACGCAAGCGTGTATGCACAGAAACAGTAAACTGAGCAGCGACGTCAGCGACCTGTATTTAATGTAAACATGTTGTGGTTCATTCTTCACTGTACTCTTGAGTTCTACTGTCTGTTTGCCTACAGTGTGCTTCTTCTTCACTGAAACAGATGAAGAAATGATTACATAGGGCTATTTGCAGGAGTCTGTACCAGTCTTATTAAGAAATGTTGCGCCTCCTGTGATTCGAAAATTGAAGAAGGCCATATTGTGATTGTTCAGCCCTAGTTAGTACATCCTATGTTGTGTTAGTGGAGAGGTTTTAGTGCCTTGTGATGGTCGTCATGTTACTCCAAAAGCTGAAAATAGAACCGTGAAATCTCAAATATTTTCCCTCCCTTTATGTCTCCCCTCTTCTCTGCAGCATTTGAAGGTGACCATATGGTGTTGAGTCCCAACGTGCTGCACTGCACTGGTGAATACTGACTAGCGGGGCTTGGCACGCTCAGCAGGCGGCTTGTGATCTTTTTTTTTTTTTTTTTTTTTTTTTTTTTTTTTTTTTTAAAAAAAAAGACCCATCTAAAAAACCCAGAGGAGGTGATTGCATTCAGGTAATCTCTGGGCAAGACGGCTCTCCACTGGTTGGGATGACTTCAGAAAGGAAAGAGAGGGAGATAGAGAACACTGTGTCCTAAACCAGCTATGCATGCCTGGTCAAGGCCGCAGAACATGTGACGGAGGAAGCAACACTCCCACACACACACACACACACACACAGCTATGACAGTCCCTTGGAGAGAGTATAAACACTGTTACATAACAGCAGGGCTTGGAGACATTCAAAATGTTACAAAAGTTCTGGCACGTTTCTAAAACTGTTCTTACAAGAGAAAGCGATGAAAAATACCTCCTAGCATAAAAAAATACATTCAAACGTTGCCTCCTGAGGCATGTGATGAACTCAACTTAAGAGTCTACAGCTCTGTGAGGCATAATGCTAACGTAAGCAAGCGAAGATATTAAAAATCTAAATGCTAAGATTCTCATGAAGGCGGTTATCTTGTTCACCATCTTAGTTTAGCTTGCTAGCATGCCAACATTCGCCAATTGATGTTTTGCTCAGCCCTGCCCGCCACTGCTGCCAGAGCTACCATGGAGTCCACACTGTCACTAACTGCACTTCCTGAATATATATATTATCTTATTTTAGAAAATAAATAAATAAAAAGCGATGTCGGAGAGAAGCAGACAGAAGGAAGGGTCTACGATATGAGCGTGAAGGATACATCAGCATTATGATTGGCCAGTCTGCGTTCGTTGGGCGGGACTTAGCGAAGGGTCAATTCACATTAAACACAAAGTAGAGCTGAGGCTGATGGGAATCTCATTAGTTTTGCAGGTATTTGAACAAAAAACTAAGTATTGGACACGTATTTTGTGTGTGTGGAGTAGTCGATCATGATTCTGCAACTATTTTGAGAAATTGTTTAAATCATTTTACAAGCGAAGATGCCAAAATGTCCTGGTTCCAACATATCAAATGAGAGGATTTGCTGCTTTTCTTAGTCTTATGTAATATTAAACTGAATATCTGTGGATGGAGGACTGCCATCATCACCTTGAGCTTTGGGAAATTGTGATAGGTATTTTATAAACCAAAAGATCCACTGATTATAGCCAGATTAATAGATAATGAAGAGCTGACGATGGTGCTAGACGAAAAGTCAGACAATCACCAAAGTCTTTGGGATTATTCTTCTAGGCATCATGAATGTCTATATTTAGAATTCATGGCAATCCATCCCATGGTTGTGGAGATATTCAAGTCCAGAGCAAGGTGATGTACCAACCGACCAATCGCCATTACTAAATCTAGAAGCACTACTAAACTACTACACCAAGAACAGTCTGCTGTATGTCCCGTGTAAACACAAGCATGCATACCAATGAGAGCACAGATCATCTGTGGAGAGGCCAATAATATCCCCTTCAGAGAGGACACAGACTTTAATTGCAGCCTGTGACCAAAATCCTTCGCACTGCTGTGTAAACACGTCAGACGCACAAGTATCTGCTGGCTGTGTGTTAACAAAATGTACCGGGCAGATGATAAGGTGTCAGCCATGGGCTCCTTATCAGCTGAGCTCCTTCCTACTATGCAAACGTCCCACTCGAATTCTCACTTTGATGCAGGCAGCCGCTGTTCTCGACTCCCCTGCATTGTGCTCATGCCTGTGTGCTTAGGTCCCCCCCTCCCCTCCTTCTCCTCTTAAAAGGCAGATTACGGCCTAAAGGTCAGAGTTGGACCTCCACAAAGCTCTCTGTGGCTTCCCATATGGTGTCAAAGTGGAATGAGAAGGGATCTATAGATGGTTGTGATTTTAAATTTTTTTCTTTTAAAAGCTGCACACAAGGGCCATATTTCATGGTGTCTATTTATTCTATTTATCATAAGCATAGCCATTTTCACAGGATATGACTAATTTGACTGCGCTACCTGTGTGGAAAATACTGCAATGTCAGCATACTTGATCTACTTTATGATCTACAGGCCTTAAAGAAAACTTCCATGAACACTGAACAAACTTTCTTCACCCAGGTTCAACAATACATCTGGGTTTAACATATTAATGCAATCACATTCTAAACAAATTGAAGAAAACAAGTTGTCTCCCCCATCCTGAAATTAACATTATTGTTTATGTTAAACTTACTGTACATAATTGTGAAAAATCCTCAAATCTAAATAATCTGAAGGCCCAGCCAGACCCCCCTCCTGCTCAAGGCTCAGCCCCCATCGTTTTATATAGTGCTGGTAAAACAATGTGCATAATTAAAAAAAAAGAGGAAAAATGTGACCAAAAATGAGAATGTATGTGCAAGAGGCTGATTCTTGCAGACAGGTGAGACAGAAGCAGAGGTGCAGCAGCAGCAGCGGTGGTGGAGGAGGAGGACTCACCTTGGCCTGGTTGATGATCAGACCCATGAACGTGGACACCAGCTTGGACCGGGACAACGACGGACTCTTCCGCCGCAGGTCGGGTTTGTCTACGGGGAAAGCGGCCGGCTCCTCCGGCACAGTCACCGTGTACGAGTGTCGCAGAGACGGCATGCTCGGTAGCGGTGTTTTGATGGTGGCGGCAGTGCAGAAATACTAATCAATGAATAATCAATCGACAAGGCTAGACGGTCGGGTCGGGTCGGCTTGTCGTCCTGCCCGTGTCTGCGGGCTGTCGGTCTCTTCTGTCCCGCACTCGTAAGTTACACAACCCGCCCGTGCTGGAGAATAACAGAGCGGTGGCGTGTGTTGGAGTTTTTACTGCGTGCTTTAAACATCCCCTCCCACCCAGCGAGGCGCTGCCTTCACGTGCCGTAGGAAATATCGGAACCGCCAACGGTACAGTGACAGTAACAAAGTAGCTGTGAAAGAGCTAGATGGAGAAAAGCACTCGGATTATTCACTTATAAGTAAAAACACTACAATGTAAAAAATACCACATTAGAAGTAAAGGTTCTGTATTGATAAACGTACTATCTATGTGAGTATTATCAGCAAAATAGAGCTCTAGACTACAAAATAGTAAAGTATCAAAAGTAAAATAATTAATTCTGCAGTAAAATGTCCTGTACTTTTGTTTTAATATGTGACAATATTAGGTTTATTGTGTAAGCAGCATTTTTACTGTTGTAGCTGGTTGAGGTGGAGCTCCTTTTAACAACAATTTTATAACATTCTGGTTTAGTCCAGAGGTTCCTGACCTAGGAAGTCGGGTCCCTCCAAAGGGTCATTATTAAGGAAGGACAGAAGAAGTTCTGGTAGAGAAATTCTTTACTTTTTGCTCTACTTATTTCTTTTTTTGTTGTATGTTAAGATTTATTTAAATGAAACCATGTGTTTTTAGTAGAACTGCTATCAACACATAAACATCTGAAATTTGACAAGGGGCGACAACCTGAGACTGTTTTTTGACTAGTTGGGAACCACTGGTTTCTTAACAATGCACTGCATTTTATACAATCATATATCTATATATTATTAATGTAAAATCCTATATATCCTCAAATACATGTAGTGGAGTAAAAACAGTATACACAAATTCCACATGAATTATAAAATTGATATACTCAAGTGAAGTATAATTATAATAAAACTGATTATACTAAATATAGTAATAATTCCACTCAACATTCAAAGACATTCACACTTGATTGATAAGATGGGGTTTAGAACAAGTTACCACAAGCAAGTTTGCTTATTGTGTAGCTAAAACCAAATATGTGTTGGCAGAAAATATAAGCTCTCATCAACTTTATTCCACCGCCTAAAAACCTCAGTAGAAAGACTTGCTGTCCTTGACTTTGATCTTTCGACTGTGGGTCTGATTTTACACAGAAACAGCTGTGAGTCTGATAAGAAACTTGATAGCTGGCCTTGTAAACCTTTACATGTCCTTACAAATCACTAAGTCCAGTGCTTTTAGAGTCACGTAACACGCGATACTTAGCTGATGAATCAGGTTTTATACCTGTATTATTGCATTTGGGGAGCAGTGAAACCATGTCTCTTAATTGAGCAGAACTAAAGAACTTTGAGTCTCTTGGATGGAGTGAGTAACAGAAGGGTTTACCCCCTTGGGAGCACGAATCTGCTCAGGAAAACTCAAGACAATGTATTGGTTACATTCAGATATTTTTTTATGTAAAATGAGACGTTTTGGCCTGATTGTAGGGCTAGAAGAAAGGTTAGGGGGTCACAAATAATATTAGGATCTATCCTCTGGGGATTGTGAATATGAAAAAAATTGTACGTTAATCTGACCAGTAACTGACTAGTAGGACAAAACACTAAAACATGGAATTCCATTCACACCCAACTGCCATACCGTAAAAAGACGGTGTACAGTGAGAGAACACTTCAAACAGAACACTGAGTCAGGGAATCCCTTTCTACAAACGTAATAATTAACCACCCAAACACATTGAAGAAGAATGTGACCAGCTAACTTAGACACATTCCAGTCATAGCAGACTTTCACTGCACAAAAATCGCCCTGAAAGCACACTCCCAAATAATTACAACAATTTCAATTTCAAACACACCTTTTCCGTCGTAACAGAGTCGCTCCCTTCATTGCAACATGCAAATATGTACTTCCACTTTGCTCCTCCACCCTCAGGCGAGCCCTGCATCCTGCACACATGCATGTCAGCGAGGGAATACCGTGAGCAGTAATCATGTTTAGTGTCATGTTTACCAAAGTAACCATCTTTGTTGATTGTGTTAGCATGCTAACATATGCCGATTACCGCTAAGCACAAAGTACAGCTGGGGCTGATATGAATGTAATCAGTGCTGTAGGTATTTGGTCATAGACCAAAGCCTTGGACAAATTACATTTTTGACTTGCAGGTAAGTTAAGAGATCACTACATTTCATACAATTCATCCTAAGGGGGACATGAATGTTGGTACTCGATTTTACACAAGTTCTTCCAATTATTGTTAAAATTTTTCAATCAACACCACAAATGTCAACTTCATGATGACACTAGAGGAAAAGTCAGGGGAACCACCAAGGTTATTGAAATTCAACCTGAGGGGAAAATGAATGGTAGACGCAAGACTGCTGCTCTTTACTGAGAATGAAAGGCTGAACACAAAACAGCTAAATAAAACCTTACATCAGCAGAATAATTTGAATGATGCAATAATTACATTGGAAATTCTCCACATTGGGTTAATTTAGGGAATTACTAAACCTATTCATGCTCCCAGAGGTTGAACCCCTTACAATTTGGACACAAAAAATGGCAACTCTGTCCAAATGATATCTTAAAATTGACATGTTGTCAAGAAAGTTGCTGAGCACGCTCATATTTCAAGGCACTTCATTTTTTGAATGACCCCCATGGCATTTTGTTTTCACACCTCTCTGAAAACAAAACTTTACTGAATCATTAATCATTAATATGTGATATTAATACAATGTGGCAAAACTGACATTTAGGGGGGATTAAACTTGATAAGAGAGATATGATCAAGATAACTGCATGTGCTGCTCACTATTGTTAATAATCACCCCTGAATATGTTATGCAACAAGACAAGAGTACATGCTTGCAATAAAAATGTATTATCTCACAGACATACAGGTATGAAGTTGCTACTGTTTTCAGCAAGAGGGAAAATCGCTGTGAAAGCACACTCTCAAACAATTACTGCAATTACATCTTCAAACACACCTTTTCTATTATAACAAAACCACTTCTTTCATATGTACTTCCACTTTGCTCCACCACCCCCAGGCGAGGCCTGCATCCTGTACACATGCACATCAGCGAGGGAATACCTTGAGCAGTAATCACGCCTGAGCAAACTAAGGGAACCCTTTTCTATAAACGTCACCTTACCTAAACTTTACCGTGAGTCACATAGCTGCCTTTACAAAGAGCAGTGAATCATGCAGTCAAATACAAGCAAGAAGACACAATAAGTAATAGATGCATGGAAACTGCTTTTTTGGGTATGGTATGAGCCGAACAGCAAATTAAAATAAAAATGTACATAAACCGGTATAGGTAAGCATCAGTATAAAGTTATATGCAAATAATCTTCTGATGTATTTAACTAACTGGGAAAAGTCCACAATGCTTTTGTTTGATTTGAAATCTCAAAGGCCGTCTCGTGACTTTAACTTTGAATGTGTGTTTAGCTCGCTGCATAGCTGCATTGTATGGGCAGAAGACTTATAAAGAAAGTGCAACACCTACAAAATAACAAAGGTTATAAATGACATTGCAACTATAATTAATTATGCTTTTTCTTTCAGCCTTCTTTGAACAGTACAGCCGAATCTACTTCCTTTCACTCCACATTCAGCTGCTGTCAGATGTCACTGATGGCTGACGGATGACTAAAGTGTACATAAATGCCTTGAAGGCATGTTTCATTGTGGAAGGAATTCACCTGAATAGACTTCGCAACTTCTAAACAACTGAACATAATCACAAGGTGTGGACCGAATGAGGCGTATCATTTTCTTGTAATTATGTTGCTAGGAGACAGTTGCATTGACCGAAGTTCAAAACACTGCAGAACGACTTATGTTCAGGCTTTAAACGCTCATACGAAAAATGAAATAAAACTGAACGTGTACTCTTTAAAATTTATGGTAATTAAATATTTTTTACAAGTGAAATAAAGAAACTGTAAAGATTGTAAAGGTGTATTTTGGTTGGTGTAACTATACTGACACTGTTTTCAGTGGTGGAAAGTAACTAATAGTAAGTTTGAGGTACTTGTAGTTTACTTGAGTAATTCTATTTACTGCTACTTTTCATATATTTTTTAAACTTTAGTTTCCTTGCTTATTTTGATAAATGTAATCATCTAATAAATGATTACGTAATATCAACGATTCTTAGTTTCAGGTGATTATAAACTAATGAAAACATAGTTATGAATATAATATTTAATTCCTGCCCATACTTCCCAAAAATGCCACACACTGGCCCTTTAAGAAAAAGATTAATACTTCTTCCAACACTCTTGTAGCCCCGAATGGCCATAGCTGCATCAAATAAACTCGACTCGCACTGACTTTGAGAACTTATTCATTTATTAAAAGTCGGGTGGCACTGCTCTCAAAGAAAAAAAACATCCTTTGGTCATGTTTTTTAAGCATCAAACAAAGATGCTGTGTTATTAAAAAAAAAAAGTCATGACATAAACTACCAACGTGACAGGAAATGACTGTACATTTGTACATAGAAGGTAGCGAAACAGGCCTACCTATGAAAAACTGCCATCTAACTAATCCAAAACTTCAGTAGAGAACACTGAAGGGTTACATCAGACGTGTGGTGACACAGATTGACATTGAGAACGCATAAGGTGCCAAATAGGACACATTGACCAGGGACCATGCTTAGAGAACCTTACACCATTGACAGTATTATAATAAGCCCTCACATGTCCATCTTTACAGGCAACATGCTCAATGAATCAACAAGTCACAGCCAACAGTCAATATTTATGGCAGAAGTGTTACAACACTACAACTGATTAAGATAGAAGTGATAAAAATGAATAAAAACTGATTGCATATCTTACAACCTGGGCACTAATCTGTGAAACCAAAATTTGAGTTAAAAATAAGAGTATTCATTTCACAAGGTGCCCTTCTCACACATAAATACTCACTTCATTTTACATTATGAAATACATCATCCTTTCCTCTTTGCTGCCACAAACTGATGTATATTATAATTAGAGTAGTTCAAATAGGAAGTTAATAGATCAGCTGTGCTCTGGTTAAAGCTAGCCAGTAGATCTACTGTCTAAGTCAGAAGAATTTTTATCCATACACTTTTAATTTCAGACACACCTGGATAACTTATGACACATCTGGATGGTATTGACCATGGTAATTAATGCAGGATACATGCAGGTCTGCTGCTTTTAGGGCTGAATGTAATCATTCTTTTCATTATTGATTAATAATCTGCTGTTCATTTTCCTGAGGTATCAATTCTTGGCCCGACCCAATTCACAATAGGCCTCATAATAGTTCACAGGCTCTTGTTTGTTTTATCTAATCAGTTAAAAAGAACCGAACGTACGATAGATAGCCTGTCATATTAGTTTCAATATCATAAGTAGGCTACAATTATCAGAACAAACATTAAGGCTCCGTCATGTGTCTCAAAGGTGTACTGCAGATTTAAATGTTGAATAAAAGACTACAGAGGAAGTTCTGCAAATTTATTTGGCGACCCTAATTAACCTACCTATGGGTCCTGAACAAGTCTATGGGAATGACTGCCTTAAACACAATATAACAGGGATAAGAAAATGTCTGACTTTGGCGCCATCTGGTGGTAGTATAAAAATACACTGTGGCAGACTAATGTACACATCTTTCAACAAAAAAGAGCCAAAGATGTTAAAATCTCGACACATACTGGCTTTAAGTAGATGATAATACACAGTGAGGTGTCCTGATGTATGAAAATAATGGAGGAGGGACTTACTTTTCTCGTTTAGTTACCTTCGGGTCTCATCAATAATAAGTGGACTCAAACATTTGTGAATGCACAGTGTCCTGTTTGGATATTTCGACTGGAACACAGCTGATCTACTGGCTAATTAATGCTGGTAAACGTTGTGCATCTTCAAGTCTTCTCTGTGTTTTATTCTTTTTCATATGTCCCCTTGGCTCGCAGGGTGTTATGAGAGGAGAGTGTGAATACGAGCCGGGAGCATGGAGATCACAGCGCTGATGCTCAGCAGAGAGACCGCAGGTGTGAGGTTACAGCTCGAGCTCACAGCTGGGAAAAGAAGAAACAATTAATTATATAGGACGCTCGGTGGCACTTTTTCTTGTGTTACATCAAATATGTGTTGTGTATATATACATATGTACTGTATATACGTATATAGTTTTGTTTGTTATATATTTAAATAAATTAATACATGTGGTACATTAGTACATTAGGTAAATGAGATAAACCAACATTTCTTGATCAAATCGGTATCAAAGTTGCACCAATTGTCCAGCTTGTGTTACTTGTGAAGCTGTACAGGCTGCTCCTGTGAACATCAGAGTGTTTCATAAAGAGATTGTGACAAGCGAGGCTTATTGGAAAAATGAGGGAGACGTAGATGTAAACAAGTAATACACAAGTTGAGATGAATTCAGCATTTCTCCTAACTCAGATCATCGCAGCGCTCTGCTTTATAATCACTCTTCATCTTGAGTTCAAGTCTGGTATGAATGTGAATTCTAACTCGTGTGCCAAGACGCAACGTGACATTAACCAGCTTTGTTCAGTACTATGTGTGTTTTCGTGAGTACTTGTGTGTCTGGTGCTTACTCCGGCAGCTTTTCCTATCTCGTTGCAGCATCCCAGTCACACAGCTGCAGACCGGTCCGGTCGTCTTACTGGAGCAGATCTGCTCACAGCCTCCGTTTTCCTCCTTGCACCAGTCTGATTCTAAAGGTATATGTCACAGGGGAGTCATGAAAGTCCCCAAAAAGCTTTGGAATTTGACTGAATAGCTGTGGAAAGTGTTGGAATTAGATTTGGAAATTAATCATTTCTGTAACGGGAACTTGGACAACATCGTTCATGTATTTAAAATGTTTCTTGAGGATATGAGAAATTCAATTATGAGTTGTTTTGCTTTGACTCCTGTGCAGATTTCCACAGATTTAAGAGGGAATACCAAAGAGAATTATGACAACTAGTAGGTCAGCTCTTAAAATACCTTACTTACCTCTCCTTCTTATGGGTCCCACAGACAATATGTGCTCTTTATGATCACTGTCCTCCGAGTACATGCGTCTCTTGTGTGGACAGTTCTGGATGCACAGGACACACACATCAGTACAGCACACATTGTTTCATCACCACTTTTCACTTCTGAGGTTTTAAGGTTTTCTCACCACTTTGCAGGCATGTGTTTCAGAGTCACACAGGGTGACGTCACAGTGGAGGTGGACCTCATCGTAATCCCCAATGAACTTGAAGACGGTGACGTGGAAGCGACAGGTGAGTGAGACGCCGTTCTCTGCCATGCCGATGGTGTTGTCCTTAATGTTTGGACACCTAGAGAGAGACAGGTATAGACTGTGTTGAGTGTCCATTGGCCTTTAGCCACAGCATCAGCCACCATCTACACTTCATACTGCAAAAAGTAGGCACTGCTACTTTAAAATTTGGCTTTCTATCAGTTCTTTTCATCCTTAAATTCCTTATTGGACATTCATCACCCTATATAACACTGATGCTAGACTGGACCCTTCCAAACTCGCTCTACTAACTGTCTCATGCTTCAAGTCCTGCAGATTTAAGGCCTCTACACACCGGGGGTGTGAAGAATAAACATTTCGCACAGTGCATAAGTGCATTAATAGTCATAGAAAGTGCTACAGAGAATGCAATATATCTCATTTAAAAAGGGAACTTATTTAAATATTTCACCAGGTCCCTACAGTCTTAGCATAGTAAGTAGCATTATGAAAAATACAATGCTGAAACGATGATTGAATCTGGTAAGAGATTCAATGTTTCAGCTTCTATCAAGCAAAAAATCCGAACATCCACTGGTTGTGGTGTTGGGATTTGAGGCTTTATATCATTGTAAATCAAATATCTTTGGCTTTTTAACTGTTTTGAACAAAACAAGCTATTTGAAGACACCATCTGTGGGTCTGGGACATTATAATAGGCAATTTTCACTATTTGCTGATATTTTATCGGCCAAATCATTCATTTAAAACGTCCCCCAATTTAATCAGCAATGAGAAAAATCATTAGTTGTATGTGTGTGTGTGTGATGCTAAGGAGGATTACATTGTGTGTGTGTGTTTGTGGGGTGTCCAAGCCTACCCTCTCTCTATGATGACGTAGCGGAGTCGGTCGCTGCTGTAGCGGGACGGCGTGGCCCAGCACATGTTTACTATGAGGATGAGCTGGTTTTCATCTGCCCCTTCCACAAACACGCCCACGAAGAGGATGTCTCGTGTGCTCAGCACCACCTCGCCCTCCCTGTACGGGTTTCGGTACGAGGAGTTCTTATACAGAGCCATCTTGGTGATGAAGTTTCCTTCCTGGGTCGGTAAGGTGAGGTTTATCACACTGGAGGAGAAAACGTAGCTGCTTGTTATAGACATTTTGTTTTAACTGAAGTACAACTATTATTCTACATTGTGCTCTATCTGACCTGAGCATGGGCTTGAGGACAGTCTCCAGCGAGATCCTCAGGTCCAGTTCGTAGGCACAGGAGAACTCCACGTTGATGGTCTTGTCTCTGGTGATGACGTTCCCGGTGTTGTTCACGCTCTCTATCCACACAGTATTCTTATACATGATGTGTGTGCCATTCGACTGTCAGGAAAACAGGGAAGCAAGTGAGATGAGAAGATCACGATCAATCTGGTAAGCCGGCCTTAGCGTGCACTTCTTTGTGCCACGGTTATAAAAAAAAGCCGATCTAGCTAGAAAGCAAAGTAATCACAACAGCCAACACTCGTGAAGCAAGTAAGAAAATGAATGAACGTAAGCTGACCTGTACGATGGAGCCACAGTGTCCCTTAGTGTTGTTGATGTGGAAGGAGATGAAGTCTTCTCCCTCAATGCCGGCACAGTGCTCGTCGTTGACCCTGACGTCCTCTCGTTCAAAGCCCAGCTGGAAGAGCTTACACTTGGAGATGGAGACCTCCATCTGAGCATGCTTACAGTTCACCTCCGCCTGGATGATGTCATCATCACCTGCCAGACACACAGACAGACATCAAGTACTGCACATGGCAGCGTGAGACTGATTTTGCTTTTGCAGTGTCACTGGTTGAAAACTACTCATTCACTATTGTGTGGCCTGTGACTCCTTAGATTTTTTTCTGTATGTGGACCAGAATCAAAAAAAGTTTGGCTACCCCTAATTTACAGCAAACTACTTGGTCAGGATTAAAACAGGGGAAAGATGTGATGATACCTCGTTGCCTTGTGAAGCACTCACCTCCAGTGCTGGTAGGCAACTCCGGGCAGCCACACAGATCACCATCGCTCTCCAGCTCACAGGTGGAGTTTGTGCAGATCTCTCCTGCACAGGGGTCGTAGATCCATTCTGCTAAAGACAGGTCGACACACAATGTTAGCTGTCACACACACTGTTAGCTCAAGAAGTTAACACGCATATTCATCATTCACAAAGATGCAGGAGAAATACATTTGTAGAATTTCTTCCATATTCTCTTATTTAATGTTTACTTCTGGCAGTACACCTTTGAGCCACATGAGGGAGCCTGAATGCCGGTATTCTAATTATTGTTGCCTACTTATAATATTAAATATAATATCAAAGGCTTGTTTAAGTAATGAGAGGAAAAAACAAGAGCCTGTTAACGCCCAACTATTATAGTTTCATCTCGATTAGCTTAAAAGGTTAGTTTCCTCTTACTGTCCAGTATTTAAAAAAAAAAAAACATTTCATCCACTCATCTGCCAACCATAAATCTTTACAAGAGACATGCAGAGCCGTGTGTGTGTGTGTGTGTGTGTGTGTTGAGAGAGGCTGGTGCCTCGCGGTGCCCTTACAGCAGTTCTCCTGGGTGATCCACTTGGTGGTGAGGGTGCCCATGGAGCGGCAGGCCTCTGCGTAGGCCGCCAGAGAGCCGCAGACCTGAGCCTTGCGGTGATTGTAGCAGCCGTCCAGGTAGCAGGACTGGTAGAAGGGCCGGGGATCCAGCAGGCCGTGGCACGGCTGGAAGAAACCCTTCAGCTGGGTGAGCTTCTGACAGGCATCTTCACTTTGCAGCGCCAGCACCGCCGTGTTGTCACAGGACTGAGCCAGAGCCACAAACTGGGTTTCATCACAACTGGAGGAGGAAGACCAAACGGCCAACTATCAAAGTTATTATTTTATCACTGTTCTTATTTGCTTGTGCCACTTTTTCCGATCTGTAAATACTGTATGTACACTGAGCAAGGACTGGTTAAAAGACACACAATGGCAGAAAGAGCATTTGAGTGATGGTGGGCAACAACAAATCATCACGCCAAACTAAAAAAAAAACATTGTTGGTGATGAAGTCAGTTAACTTTAGTATATGTTAAGCCATCTACAAACTTTCCTGTACAGATAGAAAAACAGAGCAATTTATATTTAGTTTTTTTTTAGGGGCCGCATGACAAAGGAAATGAGCAGCAGCCAGCCGGTTATGTCCTATAGTCTCTAAACTTACAGGCCAAGCTATACAGCAGAAGTCCCAATTGTATCCGGTCCTAATAGCGCTACTACATTATAATCACTGCTGCTGGACAATGTGCCAGCCTATCAGCCCAAACCAATGTCAACGGCGCAACATGATCATTCATTTGTATTCATGTTTCTGTTCAACCGACGAATATTCACTCTCCCTCCAACTCTGTTTTGGTCTCCACCCACTCCTGAAGGATATATCTGCTCTTTAACTGCGAGATGTTTCACTTTCTAAACCAGCTTGCAGCCAACTATGGAGAGGGATGAGATCGGAGTTTGTGGGCTGCAAAGTTAGGTGATGAATCTCTGAGAGTTCGTCACTATGACGGACCCCTTTCACAATACATGTCGTCATTTTAACTATGTTGATTGGTACAGCTCTAATGTTGCGTTTTGATGTCTGAAAAATTTCACAAGAGTTGTAGGATTATATACAAGTAAATTGTGTACATGTTTGTAAGCCTCACCCACCTGTTCTGCATACCGTTGGTCTTCCAGCTCTGGGCCAGCTCCAGGGCGCTGACAGCCGGCTTCCCCCTGGAGGTGATGTAGTCGTCACTGGGGTCTCCGTTGAAATTCCCACAGAGGCCACACACCTTGTTCTGAAGCCGCTGGCCCATCGTGATGCTCAGGGTGTTAAAGTGGTTGTAGCGGACCTGGATGTCCTGGGGTGTGTCGATGACAATGAAACCTTCGGACGTCGACAGACGTGTCATCAGCCCAGTTAGAAACGGTACTGATACTGGTGTACCATTGACCTGTGAATATACAGGAGATGGGCGTCTTTACATATCTGAGATAAGACATAAGTCACTTTATTTCATTTATTTTCAGTGGCCAGCATAACACGCCCTTACATACCAGTCACCGAAGTAATAATAGGCCTTCCCTTTGACACAAGCAGGATTGCAAATTTGATGACGGTGACGTTGCTTATGTTACTCCTTAATACATAACTTATTAGAATTAAAAACTCTAGTAACAGAAATTAAAATAAACCGATTATGGTGGGTTAGTTTTAGTTCATTTCGGTCATTTTCAACCATGTTTTACAGCTGGGGTCAGAAGTCTGAGACATGTCCTTAGGTCAAAATCATGTTTCGAAATTCTCATAGAATAAGGAAATATCATAATTTTAGTCATGTCCTTAATTGTTGAACATGAGGAGGGATTTGCAGATGAAACCATGAGTGAAATCTTTTGCAATTAATGTACCAAAGTGATGTAGACAACACATATTGCAGTTTTTTTCTCCTGCCTGAGAGATATGAAGACATGCAAGCGTGATTACCTGGGCCAGGGATGTAGATTAGGGTGTCATCTGCATAAACTGATTTAATTGTCATAAAGGATGTCACTGAGGTGTAGCATATAACAGAAAAGAAAGGAAAAGATGAAAGCCCAAAGCAAAGATTATGACGGTGTTGTAATTACTGTTCTGGCAAATATGACCCTAGCCCATTATCGCTAATACCTACATAGTTCTTAAGGCAGTTGAGAAAAACGTGCTGTAAATAGCTCACTCAGATCAAGCAGGATTAAGACTAAATTAAAAAAATCAGCAACCCATTATCTTCCTCTGTGAGTGCACTTTCAGTGGAATGTTATGGCCTAAAGCTTCAACTTGAGGAGCTCTACCAGGCTATTAGTGGTAATTGGTAAATTGGACTGTAAGTACTCTGGCAAGAAAAGGCAGATTTGACTTGGGACCGTTTGTTTAGTTTCCAGAGGAGAGGTTTGATAAAGGCAGACGGCACATAGCCAGAAGAAAAGAAAGTGGATGATATAAAGAAATCGTCTCCCTATAGAGATAATCATTTCATCAAAGCAAGACCAAGTAGTATTTGAAAGAAGAAATATCACAAACTTCCTCTTATAAAGAAAAGGGGTTTTAGCCACTCAAACAAACACAGGACTTTCAACTAGGAGGCAGCTGTTCATGTCCTGTGTGAAACAAACAATGTTTCTTTGTGTCACTTTCAATTGACAAAAGTAGCATTTTTAACCCAAACCACAATCTTTTTTTCCTAAACCTAAGCAAGTGTTTTTGTCTGAATTCACGATGTTAATGTGTTTACTGCGACCGTATTGGCACTGACACACTTATACTCAGAGTATAAGAAAGTGACGCTAAGGGACCAAGCATCAGTATGTGACAAGTTGGGATGAGAACGGGTTGTAACATTACTGAGTCAGTACCTTGGATTAGCATTTATCATTGTCCCATAATGTTTACCTGTGGCCACGGTGTTTAACAACAGTTACACAGGCCCGTTTTAAAGCTGCATTCTTTTTTTTTAAGCCACGTTTGACATAGTATGGCTTTGTAAAAATGATATGGATGACAAGTTAGCCACCCATTGCCTGTAAACCCATCCTTAATTATGGTCTGCTATTTGGTGCTGGTCAGGTAGTGTACAGTGGGTTTATCAGAGCTTTTTTTGGTGACAAGATTATAGAGAGAATTTTGAGAGTAAAGGACAAATTGAAGTTGTGGACCATAAAACCAAAACAATGAGCTGAAAGACACCAAAAGTCAGGTGATAATTATATATATAACACCTTTCACATTACATGTAACTAGTTTATCTGTTGTCAACATAAAATATTTATTAGTGTGACTGTTAAGATACGATTTCAGAGTCAATGCAATTTAACCAAACTGCTGTGTAGAAATCATAACAAGGTCAATCCGTATTTCCAAAATTTGGCTGATGTACTGACAAATGCACGAGAGCCCAACGCTTCTCTCACCTTGACAGTGCTGCCAGAGATGAGTATATTCTCCTCATTGATGTAAAGGTAGACATGAGAGATGGTGGTGAGGTTGGGTGTGCTCCATTTATCGAAGTTAGCAATGAGCTGGAACGAGAGGTCGGGCAGCTTATGACAGTTGGTGGACAAGACGAAGGAGCAGGAGGCCGGGAGCCGCAGCGACGCTCCGTCGAAGGTCCTGAAAACCCCACCGCCAGACGCCACGCAGTGCTGGGAGCGCCGCGCAAAGCAGCCCCGCACTCCGTACCGCAGGGCGCACTCTTCCTCTGCCTTACAGCGCCTCGGGTCGCACTGGACCAGGTTTCGTCCGATGCACTGGCAGCGTTTGGTACAGTCGTTGTTCCAAAACAGCTGTTTGGGCTGAAATAAAGAAAGATTCCCGTTAAAACCGGAGCAGAAACATTGAAGGTATTAGTTGATTGCCAAAAACACTGAACAAAGTGAGTTTTTCGTGATATATTCCCTATAAGAAATTTTGATGGGTATTTTTATATATTTTCCCATATTCTATAGCCTATCATCTATTTAATAATAAATCAATTAATCAATAACAAAATCAACAAAAAATAATCTTTAGTTTTAGCGCTATTCAAGCAATTCTAAATTCTGATGCAACATTGCAATTCATAAGTTTAGTGTGAAGGTTTTCCTTTATAGATTGTAATACCTGCCTGATTTAACGTGAGTTAATTCCGTGTAGTGCTGGATGTGAGACTGACCTCATAGTACTTGCCATCAGTGTAGCAGCCACAGTTTTGAGGCAGGATGCAGCCCTTGCCGTTGAGCACGAAGCCCTGGTCACACTGGCAGCCCTCCACACAGTCCTGGCTGCAGTCCCTCTGGCCGCGGGCTGGGGCGCACTGGGGCGGGCAAACCGACACACAACTGGAGTAATGGCTGTTAGGTGAACAGCTCTGGACTGGGGGCAGGCAGGTTGGCAAAGATATTAGGGAACGACTGCACTGAATACATTGTGCACATAGGACATTTTCCAGTATGACTTTTCAAGGGTAAATATTTGTGGAGTTTTGATTGGAGAGTCCACTTATAGAGCTTATGTGGCTCTATGGCAGCTCTTTAAAGGAATAGTTCAACATTGTGGGAAACATGCTTATTCCCTTTCTTTTTGAGATGAGTCAGGGCATGGTTAGCCTAGCTTAGCATAAGGTCAAGAAGTAGAGGAAACAGCCGTGCTCCATCCAAAGTTCAAGAATAATCCTACCTAAAGCCCACTAATTAACACTTCTTATCTCATTTGCTTAACCCACACCAACATTAATGTTGAAAAAAGACAATCTTTGGTTTTAGGGGAGTTCACTGGAACTACTTTCCACCAAAAAAAAGTCCCAGTTAAAACTTTTAACAGTGTGTTCTGTGGACTTATTTACAGTTAACAGACATTTTCTCTGGAAAGACAAGTTTTCAGAAACCTGGACAAATAAAATAATCTACGGTGAGCCCAGACTTGCACTCACCACACGGCGTGTCGCTCCTCCAGCCAGTAACAGGCACCCCTTGGGTCTGACAGGTGCTGGCATACATCTGCAGCCAGTTACAGACTGTATCCTGAGCTCCTTGGTCCAAACAGGTGTCCTGCAGGCAGCTTTGATAAAAAAACGCTGGCGTCACCTTGCTGTGACAACGTGCAAACGCACCACCTCGATCCACAATTTGCCCACAAAGCCTGACCGCCTCCGGCTCCACAAACACATACAGTCCATTCCCGATGTGGAAGCGTATGCCTGTGTCGACTTCATTTTCCCCATTGTCCGTGTCGCTGTTCGTGTTGGCATCAGCCACCATGAGAGGGGAGTCATTTGCTGCGCTGGTCTCTCCCAGGCCACAGCGTGGGCAGGAGTCTCCACAGCCCACCTGGCAGAAGGTGTCCCTCTCTGCCCAGGCCATGCCCCAGTCAGTGGTGGTAAGGGTAGGAGGGGACAAGGGCATGCCCTGGCAGAGGCCGCAGCAAGCGTTGTACAGGTCACGGGGCAACGTCAACAGGAGGAGAGTGTTCCAGTCAAAGGCCACCTTCAGGCCAAAGTCTGTCTCCAGAATGAGCTGCATGCCCCAGGTGAAGATGTTGACCTTCCCCGGGCCCAGCTTCAGAGGAAGGTTCAAACGCTCCTTATTCACCTGAGAGAAGAGAGATTCAATAAAACTGGTTTGAACTACTTTGAACAGGTTTAGCTGTTATTCTAGGATGCACACCAGCTGACACACACACACACACACACACACACACACACACACACACACATTCCGACAAGCATTTTTTTGTACCAAGTCATAGTTTCTAATCTAACTGACCTGCATGTTTTCAAAGTGTGTAGGGGAAATCCAGGGGATGAGTGGATAACATTAAGACTCACTGAAAGAGCTTCTATATATGCGTTTTCTCATACAGTATAATCTAATTGTATAAAAAAGAGTCTGGTTAGTGTGTGTCTGTGTGTGTGTGTGGGCATTGGGTTATGTGTGTCATTTATATTCCTCCTCAGATCTTTTAGTCGGTTTGTGAACCCAGTCCAAATGTCGCTCAGGGTCGGGGTTTTGTCTGAGCCAAATCCAGCCTGATAAAAGATGCCCATTGAAATTAGATCCACCTTAAGCCAATCAAAGAGGAATTCACCCTCTGCCTGGTCATTCAATCGGCTTGATTAGAAATAACATGTCCTCCCAAATACAACAACCATGACTTTCAGGGGTCATGCATATTACAGGCATTCCCTGATATGAACACATTATATAATCATAGCTCTTGTTTAATTTACCCTTCATGCACTCACCGTGACAGTGTTTTTGTAGCTTCGAGACACTTCAATCTCATACTCGTAGACCTCCAGTAGAAAGCCCCTCACCCAAATAGCCTGGCCTGTGTCCCTTTCCTCATTACGAGCTGCCAATTTAAATTGAGGAAATGTTTCACCCGTGGTTGCGTGGTCCCTGTTCTCTCTCCCACAGCTGGTGGTGGCCATCCTAAGAGAACAAGAACTCTGCAGTTCAAACGGGACGCCGCCAAATGGCAGAAAATGTCCATAACCGGCCACCACACACAGGGCCTCAGTGCGCGGCTGGCAAAAGTACAGGCCGTCGTTCTCCTTGCAGTATTCCTCAGGGTAACAGGGTGCGAGCTGACAGTATACACTGTTGTCAGAACCATTGCAGTAGCAGCGCTCCTGGCACTCCCAGTCCGTCCAGAAAGTCTGATTAGTGACCAGCTGGCGCCCGTGGCTCATGCAGCCACAATCACTGCGTGCCACACACAGGCCATCTCGAAGTGCAAAGCCCTCCTCACATTGACACCCTTCCTGGCATGGCAGAGGGCATGGCTCTTCAGGTTCATCTAAGTTGGCACAGGTCAGAGGGCAGGCACCGGTGCACTCATCAAAATGACTGTTCTGTGGACAGGGAAGAGCTAAGACAGAAGAGCATTGGAAGAGAAGGCAGGAGAGGAGCAAAGACGATCAAAACCATATTACAAGAATAATCCTCCAAAAACCTTTGATTTGAGTCGCCCACTGTAGGATTGAATGGAGGCTTTGAGGAGTTTTAATCTCTCCCCTCAGTAGCAGATGTAGACAGCTTGGACTCACCACAGTTACAACGGAATCCACTGGTGAACAAGTTTATGGCAAAAGAAAATGTTTGTGTTCTCAAACCACTCCTGCAGCATAACCACCACACGAGCGTCCATCCATATGTATGTTCTTACGATCCTATTTTGTGCTGCTAGTTACAAACGGAAGCAGTGAATTGAGCCATATTTTGGCATAAAAATATGATTGCTGAGAGCTGAGAGGGGGATTATGCTGAAGAAGTGATTTTGAAAAGTTTCAATGGTCGGCGAAGGAGCAAGCTTTACAGAGTCACCTTTCAAGCCCACAAGGCTTGAGAATTTGGTGGAGTACTTTTAAAGAAGAGGTAAATATTAGTGCAACACTATTGAGCACTGGGGGAGTGGATATAAAGAAGATTACTGGTAGGCCTTTTTAATTTCACTTGTCAAACACAGGTGTGACTAATATATGAATAAATGAATAAATTGCTACATTGCATTTCAATAATTGCTGGAACAGAGTCACTGTCATTGTTATTAGTTCCAGCTGTGCTTTTCCAGCTTTGTCAAAAGGACTGCTCTGAAACAGGCCTGTGAATCTGATTTGGGCACAATTAAGAAACATCAGTGTTGTGATGCTAGCAACACGATCAATATTCAGGTTCTTCAGAAAGCAAAATGACATGTAAAGTTCAATTTGGTATTTTTACATGGGGAAAATACTAACTTTTTGGCTTCCAAAAAAGGGAACGACAGTATAGGTAGTTATAGAGGAAATTAAATATGAAAATACTGGTATATTTGTGTATCTACCACAGCGACAGGAAGCAGAAAGAAACTGCTAGCCAAGATTTTTTGAAGAAATATGCCCCTCACTTAATGTCATGTAGTATATGTTAATACAAATTAAAAAAAACCTTTTCAGTTTTTGATGTGTCGACCAGATTTCTTGCTAACAAGTTACAACAAAGTAAGACAGGTTTGGAAGTGTCTGTACATTGAAGTGAAGATGTATAAACTCACGGCAGTTGGTGACGCTCCTCCAGGAAGCGAGGCCTACTTGAGCATCCTGACAGGCGGTGGCATACGCCTGCAGTGAAGAACACAGGGCTGAACGATTCCCTTCCTTTACACACATGTTATACAAGCAGTTCCTGAAGAATGGCGAGGGGTTGACCACTGCATGACATGCCAGAAATGAACTATTCCCCGGGTCATTGATGTTGCCACACATCCAAGGATTCTGGTAGAGGCGCAAGTCTGTGCACATCCGATACAAGGCATCGCAGTCACCATTACAGGTGAGGTCATCAGCGATGGACCGCCAGCCCTCTGTGAACTGTTCAGCAGACTCCGCCAGGCGTCCATTTGGAAGACGAAGGTCATCAGTGGTATTGCTATTGAAGACGCCACATAGACCACAAGTAACGTTGTAGAAGAGGGTGGAGAGGGAGATGTTAAGGTATCCCTGGCGAGTGTACTGGACACGAAGCAGACCACGGGACTCCACCACTGTAGCATTGCCTGGTGCTCTGTAGATCATCATTGTCTCCATCGGATGGACATATGGGAGAACCACTGGTTCACCATTCACCTGGAACACAAAAGGTGTCACAGCCATAGGTATGCAACAGCTAAACATAGATGACAAAAAGGATTTTGCTGTGTAGAGAAAATACTAACCTTTACTATATCAAAATCTATCCCTCCCATCTGAGCTTCCAGGTTAGCCACTGTAACTACCACAGGTCTTTTCCAAGTGGGGCCTTTGTTCACCAGCCGCCTGCCCATCTTCACCTCAACCATCGAGCCATTAGCTGGCACTGCACTGCACAGCTTCAGCAGGTAGTAGGAGCTGTCGTCTGGGATCAGCAGGAAGGTGCCATCAAAGGAGGTTGTCACCGAGTTCTGGTTGATTGAGCACACTCCCTCCCTCCGAGGGTAGCAACCCAGCAAGCCCACCTCCACCACACACACCTCACCCTCCTTGCAGGAATCGTTGAAGCAGGAGACTTCCCCGGCAGGCCCGCAGGTGCAGCGGAGGGTACATTCACCTTCCTCACCGCTGGGGCTTGCCCAGAAAGTGTTATTAAGAGGGTAATAGAGGCCGTTGTGCTCACAGCCACAGTCCTCAAGCTGAACACAATGGCTGCCGCTGAGAACATAGCCCGGGTCACACTGGCAGCCCTCAGTGCAAGGGTGAGCACAATACAGGGGAGCGGTGAGGTCCGAGCAGGAGGCCGGGCAGGCACTTGTGCAAACTTGGTAATGGCTGAACTCCGGACACGACAAGGCTGAGAACCAGTAAGAGAGAAAAAAATATGTCAGATAACACAAGTGAATGAGTGTAAGATGAAGAATCTACGGAAACTGAATCAAACTGAATCTCACCGCAGAAGGTACGAGATCTCCACGGTCGTATCGTGACACCAAGGGCCTGACAGGCCAGAGCATAGGCCTGGATGGCCTGGCAGAGCGTGGTGATGTTATCCCTGTTGCTGCACATGTCATATACACAGCTATACACAAAGACCGTAGGGTCCACTACAGCTCTGCAGTCCCTAAAAGGTCCATCGGTTTTGTTGATGAGCCCACAGTAGTCTGAGCGAAAGTAGAAGGCTTCCGTAAGAGCGTCACACACGCTGCAGTTCTGGGCGCAGCCATCTGTACACCTCCAGTCTGTGTCCTCTGCTCGCCAGCTGCCCCCTAATTCCACTACGCTCTCTGCTAGCGAGCCGTCAGGAAGCACAGGATCATCGGCGGGGTCATCGTTGTAGTTACCGCAAAGGCCACAAGTGTTGTTGAAGTAGGAGCTGGGTAGGGAGATGGATGCATAGTGTTGGCCGTCGTAGGTTACCAAGAGTCCAAAGTCTGTTTCTAAAGCAATGGCAACCCCAGACTGGTATACCCTGATAGCACCAAGCTGGAGTTGGACCGGTAAAGTCTTCACCAAGCCGTCCACCTAGAGAGATGAAGAAAGGAATAATCAGAAAAGGAACAAAGGATAATGGTAGACACCTTGGTGCAGTTACAATACTGTCACTTTCTTCTTCTACCTTTATTATGACAAAACTCTCAAACTTAAATCCTGTATTGTCTGCTTGTACTCGGATATTATGATTCATCCAGGTAGATGCATCCAAGAGATGATTAGTGATTGGTTTACTGTCCAAACTACTCTAAATGCAGCCACATAACCCGACTTAACACTCCAACCCAAAAAAACGTGGTCCACAGATTCTCACCAGGACTGTTCCAAAACTGCCTTTGGGTAACATGACTCTGTGACCATACACCTCCACTGTGACATCTCTAAGCCAAGAAACAGAGGCGACCCCACGGTTCTCATTTTTGGCCTCAATGCTGAAGAAAGGCAGCCCCGCCACCTCCCAGCAGGGCCGAGCCAGCAGGTAGGAGCAGGTTCCCTGGAAGTGATAAAGGAAGCCGTCGAAGGTGTGGTAATGAGGGTCACCAAATACCACGCAAGTGCTGGAACGGGTTGGCTGGCAGTAAAAGGCCCCTTCTTGCTGCTCACAGGTCTCCAGCTGCCCGCATGGAGCCTCGTGGCATTGCACCTCATTGTTAATGTCAAGGCAGCGGCATCGCTGTAAACACTGGTCAGACAGCCAGAAAACTTCCCCTCGTCGGTAAAAACGCCCTGGACAGGATGTATGGAAGACAGAGGAGATATTTACAAGTACAGTTCTTCATAAGAGAAGCCTGTGTGGACATAAATATCAGTGTTTGATGTTTTAACTTACCATTGTAGCTGCAGCCATTGGCAGGATCTACCAGTTCAGTGTCTACGCGGAAGAACCAGCGCCCAGGGGTATTGACATTGGTTGTCTGTTCAATGTTCACTACATCATTTGACCGTGATCCCGGCAGGTTGAAGAAGTGACCAATGTCTCCACCATTAAAACCTGACTGAAAAGGGGAAAGGTGTGAGGGTCGTGAGGTGAAATGTTTGTCAATATCATTGAAAGGATTAACATATGTATGAAATGGCTACAGCCATAGTGAGAATACCTGAGCTGTCGTCCCACCCAGTCCTGTTAAAGGATCTCCACCGCTGGCTGTTCCCGTGCTCCATGTAATTTCTCCGTAGTTGAACATGGTGAAGGACGTCACGCTATCTGAGATCAGTACACTTTGGAATGTGTTCACCTTTTAATCAAACAGGAGGATGAAAATAGTTTTAAAAAGAGAAAACAACATAACATACTAAAAAGAAGAATGCCCCAACAGAGACGAAACATTTCAACATTCAACAAATGTTTCACTTGCAAAAAAAACAGCAGATTTACAAAGTTGCATTTGAGAACCCAGTTCTTCAGAAATTTACACTGAACAAAATGTTCTCGATATAACTGCTGCTTCCACAGCTTAGCAGACCTAGCTAATCTAAACTAAACACTCGTGTGTGGAAATGTGTTTGGACTTTACCGGGGTTGTCTGGCTTCCCCCATAGAAGGTGACTTGGTGCCATGTTGCAATAAAGACCCAAGTGGCTGTGAAAGTGGGTATAGTTTTGAAGTACTTCCGGACATCTTGCGTTGCCCTTTCCAGTATTTCTGGTTCGGTGGACTCTCGGTAGAACACATCTCCGCGGATGCCGTTGTGCACATCTGCCCAAAGTGGAGCAATGAACGATCGACTGTCACTCAGGGGAAAAGCTTCTGGTGTGAACTGGCTAACCTGCACGTTGAAGGAGATCACACCGTTGTTGTTGATCTGTGGGCAGAACACACAGGGTTGTATTTCATGCTTCATACATTGCAATAAATCATTTTAAGATGGATGGATGATATATTTCTGTGCAGTAATAAGAGTTTTGATCAAGGCTTACATAGATGGAACGGTAGGGGATATTGAAGAAAATGAAGTGAATGAGCAAAGTAATTTCAACCGAACTCCCATCATCCATCTTTGGAGTCTCTAGATCCCTATGGCCGAGTCCATACGGATACAGGATATCCTTAGTACCTAAAAGGAGAATAAACAGCTCATTAAATGGACTTTTCTCCACCCTAAAAGATGAAGGAATTGATGTGGAGGATGACTCGTACCTCCCGTCTGTACAAAGATGCTGAAGATGTGGAGCAGAATGACTGGACAGCCTGGCCTGACCATTCTTAAAAAAAACAGAGAAACAGAATGAGATGTTTATGCAACTGTCACATTATCTGTCTTGCCTTTTCCTTAAAGTTAATAGAAATGCAGGCAGACATGAGTCATAGGACAACTTCTCATAAACGAGGCCCTTAGACAAAAGTGGAGAGGAGGGAGAACCATCAAACCAACGTCACATTACTTCTTTAAGATCAGGCTCCCAGGTCTCCCCTGAGGAGCCCTGAAAAGGCCCCATTATACATGCCAGAACAATGTGTCAGGATCACATTTGCCTTACAGTCCCATGTGAGCCGCCAACAGTGGACTACGGGCCTCTCTGTGCCTCGATTCCCTGCAGCTGACCGAACTGGCCCGCTCTGCTCCAGTGTCTCTGTATCTGAAGCCGCAAGGCTGCTTAGGACCTCATTACCACTTCTGTTTGGGATCCATCCATGCCTTGTTGGCTAAAGAGAGAGAGGCGTAAACACTGGGGCACTAATGGCTTTAAGTAAGTAGGTTTGAATTGCCGAGGTCCTTGCAGTGGCCCTTTGGGACTCTTCAGGGCTGGGCTTGGCAAGCTTCCCATTGGCAAAGGAGAGTGTACAGCCAAGTTGGCAGATTTTTCAATCACCATATAGCATTTTAACTCTTTATTTTTTAAACATTAATGTGCATATACATCACAGCGAACTTTACACAGATAAAACTGGATATCATAGATATCATAGACCTTCTGAGACATTCTGCCCCAGTTCTCAATGTGTCTGTAATTGTGTTATTTTGAACTTTCACAAAATAACAATAAAAAGTCACAATTTGAAGTCCCCACTAGTATCCCAGCATGCATTTAGCATCAACCTGTGATAATGGCAGCGGATATGAGCCAGACCCTTAACTGATATAACTTTGGGTACTACCACTGTTTTTTCTGTCACCAGATTTAGTCTGCCAACTTTTAGAAGAGAAAGCAACTGCCAAGGTTTCTTATGCATGGTCGATTTATCAAAATGATAACTGAATGATGATCACTGGCAAGCTGGCCTGCTAGCTACTAGTGAACGTCATAAGGCGTCTTACACGTACATATAATTCCACATATACCCACAGCCTTACCTTTTAATGTCCTGAATACAACACTGTTGATACATAAGGTATGTGAGGATAATTCTCTCAAATCTTCTCTCTAATATGTGAGTTCTATTCAGCTTGATGGTAAATTGTGTTCAGGTGGGCCAATGTTAGTGAGCACTGCTGAGAGAGAGGTCTGCTCTAATGTCATCAGCCTCTCATCATACATTGTCAACAGGAAGATTAACACAATTGCTCTTTTGACTCTCCATCTTATCTGAGTGGCGTTAACACGTTGCCTTTTAGTGGGGCAATTAAGATAAAGCCCCTGGGACTTAAAAGATGAGCAAGCCACTCCAACATGTTTATCTCAGGGGTAAAGCTCAAATAGAGACAACTCTTATTGTATCAGGTAAGCCACATGCTTTATCAAAAGTTAGTTCACTCTCTAAAGCTCATTAATTCAATTTAGGTACTTTTTTTGCAGTTCAGGTTGGAAACCTTAACTGCTTAACTGGTCCGAATTTTGACTTCAAAATTGTGTTTATGTGAAAGGTTTTTGTCTTTTTCTGTCTTAATACTGATGTACTGACTTTAACAAATATCCATTTTAAAGCCACTGGGGGGCGAACGGGAGAACTTGTTCGGACGCGTGTTCCACAAACATTTCAATGTCCAATGCGCTGTCTTTCTTTAGATCCGTTGATCCATTTATTCAAATGAATACTGATACCGTAACAGAATACAGGATAATATAAGACCTTGAAACTTCTCACTGACATGCCTGCTGACACGACACCTTAACAGAGTACCACAGGTTACTTTACAGGATACTTTGACACAACACCTTGACACGGTCAAAAACTGTCCACACACACACACCTGATCCTCATTACCAGGCACTTGCATATATGCACATTTAGGTTAAGGTGCCACCCACTGTTCAATGTCAGGACTGCATGTGTACACACCCCATGTTTCCCTCAAAGACATAAGAAAACAACAAAACTACATTATGGCTCCAACAACTGACATTAGGGTAAATAGCAGATCAGTGGTTCCCAACCTGTGTTTTGGGATCCAAAAGGGGTCCCAAGAAACAAACTAGATAATTTCTGTTACACAAATTTGTATTCCTATGACATTTGTATTTGTTTGTTTTTAGCTTTTGAAATACTAAAAATCCCAAAAATAAATAATGTGAGTAGAAACGATCACTATTTGGTTGAGCTTTGATCATAACCTGTGATGATGGGGAGGGGGCTGAAGTAGACTTTCTCCAAGTTTTAAGAGGGTTGTTCTCGATACCAGCAATTATATTAGACCATGAAGCAAAAGTGATATCACCAACAGCAGCCTAGAGAGTGTAATAATGAAAGTTCAGGTTTCTTTTGCCACACAGTCAGGCCATGAATAAAGAAACCAATTACGAGTAGAAAAGGAAATTATGCTCTCACCTGCCTTCAGAAGATGGACATCAAGCACCTCAATCGTCTAACCTGGCAACCTCCTTATGGATGTGTCCCATTCAGCAAGGGACCATCCACAGATTGGTGGCGATGGAGGGAGTAAAATGAGGCAGTGGAGGTGATAGTTGCTGAAGTGATGAAAAGAGAAGAGGGGTCTGTAGAGGAGCTGGATGTCCAGATAAAAGAACACTTCTTGACCAAACCCAGCCCCACAGGGTTATCAGCAGAAGCAACAACAATCCAAAAGGTTTGTGTTGAGCAGTAAAACGATGATTTCCTTGCACGAAAAAAAGTTGAGATTGAAAATAACCTGTTGAAGCTGCGGAAGGAGCTTTGCCTAAAAAAGCAGGTGCAAACTTTACCTGGGATACTGTTGAACTTAATCTGAGATCAGTGTTTGGGAAGGGGGGTAGGTGGGGAGGAGAAGGGAGTTGAGGGGAGGGACAGCATAGGAATCTGAGGAAGAGAGGGAGTGGAAACGGAGTAATATGTAAGAAGAGGAGAGGAGATGTCAGAGATGTGGAAATGATGGAGGGAAGTGGAAAAACCAAAGAGAATTACTGCTTGAGGACATATTTTAAATGCAGTATAAAAGGAATGTTTAGCACAAAGAGAGGCTCTCATAACGGATGAATGTCAAGCCTTTTGTGCAGGATCTGTCATTAACACCTGCAAAGTGCCAAATGATGATAAAATATGTCTTTGCTGGAAAAATTTGGAGGAAACACTGCAGCCTTTATCTTTGTGGAACGATGACATTTGAATAATGTTTCAAACAAAGCATCTGAAGCAGCATTTAATAAACATTTGGGGATAAGTTCAATGTAAGTGGACAGTGTTATTGAATTATTTGTTTGAGAAGTCCTTCGCAAGTATACAATAGAGACTTTGCCTGTGGATTGGACCTGAATTGTGGCAAAGACTTTACCAGAGTTCATTCAGTGCAGCTAGGGCAGCTTCAGGGCACTGGAGCACAAAAACTAGTAGTACAGTCTCACTCTGGGGCATTTATGGACAAAAACCAGAAACACACACAGTCTGAAACCTTGCTTTTCAAGCTCAGTGGTAGGTAGAGTTACAGAATTAACATGAGTCACTTTGGATACTCTGTGTACCCCCTTTTTTAATTAGGAACAGCCTCATTTACAGGGTTATACAAGACACTTCATTTCAATAGATGCTGGAGAGATAGCGTGGGTAAATCTCAGGTGGATCCACGCTGATAGGGTCTGGGAAGGAAAGGGCAGTCAGTTGGGTCTTTGTTGCAGGAGGACAGTGGAAGTAATTGGAGAGGCAGGGAACAAGATGTGTGAAAGGCTCCAGGTCTGAGGGCAGGCCCCGGGCTCCCATTAAGCAGCACCGAGGCTCTCTGTGGAGGCTTCTTTTATACCTCCCACGTCTTGTCGTGGAAATGGACACATACTATTTACCAACCTTTGAAAGAGAACGTTGCACAAAGAGGGACCAAAAAAAATAAAAGACAGATGACCCACTGGGCGGGGGAAGCTTCCTGATGTAGGGTTTTGGGAAATGTTGAGGATGTAGAAGTGGGACAGATCGAGATCGCTGATACATCTGGTTTGTCGCGCTTGCGCTCTTGCTTTCCCATTCAGTGACCCTCAAAACGGCTCACTAGGAACAGAAGACATTGAAAGGAAATCACAACACTCTTTTTTTCTTCTCAATACTTTGGTGGTCAACTTGAAGCTGAGCTAATCAATATATCTGTGTTAATAACGCATTAAATAACTATATGTAAATGTAAAACGGTTGCTTGTAGTGACGAACCTTAAAAGATTGCCACCCAACTCTTCAGCGTCAACAGAGCATTTTAGGCTTAGTTAAGATTGCAGGCAAATCCATTTAATTTCATCAAATCAGATCATTAAGACGGACTGTCCTGCACATTTTTTTGAAAGCTCATCGTTTTGGTTTTATGGCCCGTAAACTCGCCCGCTCACCCAACCAGTGTGTGTGGCCATTCTGAACAGGCACATACACCTTCACCTTTGAACCTGGTCAGGCGACTCGTACGACCTGATTTCATTTGAAGAATTCTGAGTCCCACAATCATTCACTCACATCCATCCTTTTTGCAATACTGCAACTTCGATGACTCAGTCTGTGACCTTTGTCTTGTGGGATGGGACGGTGCAATCAGCTCTTAACAAAATTAATAAATGTCACCTTTGATGCTGAAAGATTGACCAAAGGGGAGATAAAAGCAATAGCTCTTAAGTTAGACAGTGAGTGGGGCCTTTTACACCTGCCTGTGCACATTCAACATTTTGTACCTACGCAGCAGGGAAAAATGTAGAACTTTGAGGAGCTTTGAGAATGTCGGCTTGCCGCAAGGAGAAACCTACACAGAGTACAAAAGATCCAAAGGTGTCCACGTCACGATTCCACGTCAGCTCATGTCCGTAAGACCATCATTGCAGTAAGTATACCCGAAGGTTTTGAACATGGGAGGGGCAGAGTATCAGTGTGGCTGCCGGTGAGTGGGGCATACCACCTTTAAGATAATTTGCAAGAGACAGAGACAGAAATGACATCAAAGGTTTCTCTGCAGTAGGAGGGCACCTTGTGGGAACAGGGTCAAAGTATCCAGCATCACACGTTTTGGAGAATCCATCAAGCCTGACCTTCACAAAGAAGGTCCTGGACTGGATACCCGCTGAGCTCTATTCAGCAGACACCTAATCCGTGGAGTGGGCCACTCTAATTCGACCCTGATGCCCAGCGGTTGGCTCTGCACCTGCCCTCCTCTCCTTCCTTTCCATTCACAATGGTGAACCTCCTTCCAGTAACCCAAACCTTCTTACCCTAGCGACTCCTTCACCTCGGCACACAATAGGCCCTGTTCAGCCCCCCTGCCCTCAATCCCACTTCATAATGCAATGGGGCAGATCAAGGGCAGATCAGAGTACCAACCGTGCAGCCGGGTCCTGTTTACGCAGCAAGGTGTGATCTATACAAAACAACCGCATCTATCTTCCAACCAAAGTCTAACTTGACCTCGTGAACATCTCTGAGAGACTGTACTTTGGCACAACGGTGCTTTGAGCTGAATGCTGACGTCAGCATGCTTACATCAGCATGCTAACGTTACCAATGACAATGCTAAGCAGGTGTTTACTTTGGTCACCATCTTATCTTAGTTTATGAGTGATACACAGATTTGGAGATAGAAATCAGATAAGCTCCTTAAGAACTTCAGTAGTTACTTGGAGGTGATTTTTGGATTTTCATAATTCCAAACCAGTCACCAAGGTAAAACAGCTTCTACTGTATTTCTGAACAGTGCATCAATGTCTACGTTTAGGTCTTTGTTACAATCCAATAATATGTGGAGAGCACCTTAACTCCCGAACTCTGAGAAGGG